AAAAGAAATTATTCAGATTTATTTTCACAGCCGACTTTGCTTATATTTACCATGGCTGCCAATATTAGTAGAGGGCACTGTAGTTGCTTTAGCATCACCTGTGGGCACTGAAGCTGCAAGGGGATTCATTAGGGAGTTTACCTACTGTAGATGTCACGTCAGAGACTTTGATTTATCTCCAGTCCTTTGCTTGTTGAGTTTAAGACAGCGATGACTGTAAGTTGTTTTGTTCCTGACCTATTTTATGTCTCACAGTTTAAGATATTCTACCGTAAGTAATGTTTGCAAGAGTTTTATTGATCAGGCTTGTACTACAGTATGTTGGTGCATAAGCATGGTTAGCATGGTATGGAAGATTAACTTATTGCACATTTGAAGAACTGCAATGTTCCTTGATGGTGAGTAGCTAATAATTTTATGTTTATATAATCAGTGCTATTCAGTTGTTTATTGAAAGCTCAAATATTAATACGTTTTATGAATTGTTTTCTTTTTTTAGTTTTACTCATTCCTTAATGAGTTGGCATGATGTGCTAGTGATATTTTATGCTTCCAATGTAGACATGATGTTAAGTAATATTAAAAGCCATCAACAATTTAGTTAGATTGAGAGATTTGCTTAATAATTAGTTGTTGCATACAGTTAAAACATGGTGTTTCTACAATTTTCAGGATTAGTAAAACAATTGATCTGGAGGAACTTTCATACTTGAAATCCTTTTCCGCAGAGCAATCTGCGGTTGTGGACGAGAACAGACTTGAGAGCATTGTCAGTATGTGTTGACCGGATTAAGTTAAAGGCAGTGAGGTGTGGAAAGATAGTGGGTTTTGTGGTAGTGGGAATGCAATTAATTAAAATGGTTGTAATGGCTGCACTGTTGATTATAATGGCAACACTGATATTCAGCCAGACAGTAATCTGAAGGGAACATCGTCTGGAAAACCACAGCATGGATTTGTGTGTGCATGACCTACTTGTGCATGCACACCTCTAATTGTGTGTTTCCTGTTCCTTGGATCCAATTAATGGCTGGAATCCATTTAAGATTCACTCTGTTTGAGTCTTGTGTCGATTTAACAGCTAATGCATTAGCGGATGAGTGAGAGCGACTGAAGTTTTAGGAACAGAATAAAGAGGTTACAGGCTTGTCCTGTCCATTAGCATCTAATGAAACCAAAACAGCATGCTAACTTTTACTTGCACACAGATGCCGTAAACACTGAAAGATATGGGAAAATCCAGCAAGAAAGCGGAAAATTAACCAAATAAAAGAAAAGTGAATGGACAATTTCTCATTTCCCATGAAAGAAATACTGTCATTTTTATTGAATTAGACAAAATTGCTAGTTAAATAATGAAATTATTAAAGGACTGAAGTAAATAATTATTATAATATATGATTAGAAAAACAAAAAATTGGACAAAAATGTCCATTCGTCAATATTGTTGGTCCATTTTCCCATATTAACTTTAAGTTAACTTTATGTTTTAACTTTAAGTTAAGGTAGCATGATACCTAGTGCAATAAAGTCTCTTATGCTCAACAGGGCTGCATTTGTTTGATGGACAAAATGGAAAATAATATATTATTAATATTGGTATATTTTTTACAATTTAAAATAGCTGTTTCTATATATTTTAAAATGTAATTTATTCCAGTAATGACAAAGCTATATTTTCAGTGTTACATGATCCTTCAGTAATCATTCTAATGTGATTATTAGATGCTCAGAGAAACATTTGACATTATTATCAGACATGAAAACAGTTACCCTGCTGAAAATGTTTTTGGAAACTGAGACGTTTTTTTTTTTTTCAGAATTTTTTGATAAATAGAAAGTTGAACGTTATTTGAAATTAAACTTTGATATAGAAATATTCTGTAACATCATAAATGTCTTTACTGTCACTTTCGATCAATTTAATGTGTCCTTGTCATCAAGTGTTTTGTGTAATGGTTAAGAAGATCGGCTCCTAACCAAGAAATTGCATATTCCATCCGGCCTTTTCAGCATTTTGACCTTGAAGTGAACACTAGCTTCAGGGCTACTGTCCCAGCAATTAATGTACTGTAAGTCACTTTGATTAAAAAGCAGCTGCTAAATGGCACATGACTACAACTGACATTTGGAGAGACTCATAAACTCGCTCTGTCCTTCCTTCCACCACAAGCTCTAGACCTTTTTTTTAAGCCAGACATAAGCAGCAATCACATGACTGCAACAAAGTCAGTGAAAACAGTGTTTATTTGATGATAACACGTAAGGTGTCAGACCGACCAGTTTTGCCATTTCTTTCAAGGGGGTAAGAAGGTGAGAGTTCTGGCAGAGGACACCCGTTCCAGATTGACAACTTACTTTATCGTGGGCACCATGTGCGACTGTCTCATCAGTCATCGAGAATTTCGGCTTCTACCTGACAGGGGTCGAGGAGGACTGATGTAGAATTTGTGTCACCTCTGCGTCTGTGTGTCTATGTATGTGACTGCCAGAGCGGACCCATCTCGCAGTCTGTGCGTCTGACAGGGTTGTTCAGGTTCACTTGAATTACACTAGTCCTCTTGATTTTGAGTCATCTGAGAGCGCTCTGAGCATTCCCGCTAACATCCTTAGACACAGAACAAACATGCTTTGCTGGTTGAGAGAAAGTTCATCTCTGAAATACAAATTTGGACATTTGAGTACATTTGCATTTGTAGGAAAAATTCACCCAAAAATAGAAATTATGTCATTATTTTCTCATTAATAAAGTAGCTCATACTGTATGACCCATGCACTATATTCTATGCCATACAATAATAGGTTTGTGTGATGAACATTATTCATGATGTTATTATTATTGTTATTTTCTTTCCAGTGGGAAACCTGCTGGATCACTGCGAAACTGTGAATCATTCAGACAGATTTTGTGTACAGGATCGACTTGAACAGATTTGACTTTATTTCTCTCTGTTTCGCTGATGAACTACCATGAATGTGGAAAGGCGAGCTATGGAGGAATAAAGACTTAATTTTTTTCTGTTTTAGAAGATATGAGATATAGGACATGAGTCACATAGACCACATTTAGATAGAAAAAAACAAACAAACAAAAAACAATAAAACATGTACAAAATGTATTTTAGCTGTATCAAAATACTATTTAGTTGAAAATGTTTAGCTTCAAATTTATGCATTTAAAATAAGTATTTTTACAATTGAGTCCAGTGTATTAATATATAGTAATAAAAAGTCAATAATAATAATAATAAAGGACTTGAGGGTGGGTAAAAGGGTGGGGGATTTTTTTATTTTTTGTTGAACTACCACTGTAAGTCAAGAATCTAGAATTGAAAATTATTTTTATTTTAAATTATGAACAATCATGCAGGAGTTTATAATAAAGATTAAAACAAAGAGCATGATGCAAAATGTGATGTGTAGCATACAAGTGGCATCACTCAGAGTGAGTCTGAATAATCCATTGCTTAATACCAGCTTTATATTATGAAAACATATTCATAGAATGCAAGAGAGCCCGGGCCACACTTGCAATCTATGCTAGACCCATTAAGAGTGCATTAAAGGAGCAAAATGCATTTTGCCTAATTTCTCATTTTCACTGTAATAACCTATATTAAGCTCAAGCAGAGCAGAAAAGAGCAACAAGGAAAACAGAAACAAATAAAGGTAAAGACACTTCCTCTTATATTTCAACTGCTTGAACCTGCTTTTAATCAGAACATTGGTGAGTCGATACTCATGCACTCAAACACGTCCCTGAAGAGAGTTTATTTCAGGGACTCGGTGAATAGGACATCAGGTCGGAAAGCAAACGGAGGACCTTGGTGAGCTGGCCACATCTTTGTGTTCACAACTTAAGGACATCAAGAGACCAGGTTTTCATGCACTTTCCTATCACTCCATTACATTTGGACACTTACACATGATGTTTTAACTCTGTTTCAGGATTTCTGGGATTTAATGTCATGGCCACTGTTGTGTATGTGGCGCCATTGCCTTCAAAATCCAGTTTCAAGTCTATTTGGAGTAGTTTATGCTATTTAAATTGAGTTTTCTTTAAGGGCACATCACATCAAGCCTGGGTCCTAAAGAATAAAAGTCTACTGATTTAGTGGTGTGGTATTTAAAAGGCCCTTCATGGTCATTTGATCACGTAGAGAGGGTATTGACGTCCTCCTGATGTCATCTAGATGGCATTAGTCAAATGTGTTTTTGTTCTGTTGGATGAAAGAAAATGGATTGGAAATCATTAAGACCAACTGTCCACTGTGCACTGTTCCTAGGCTTCTTTCTCAATCTGGCTGTAATTGTGGATATTTGCTTTCACAGTGTTGGGCAACAAGCATTGTTAGCTGTGGGCATATTCTGCAGTGTCGAGAGAGAGAGAGAGAGAGAGACTTTCTGTTCGATCGCTATGCCGCATTTAATAGTCGCTCAGCCTCTGTCCTTGTTCTGCACAGCAAAAGAACGAGCACTTCTTACTCTAGAGACAGTCTCATCTCCTTCATGAGAAAGAATGAGAGATACTCCAGTGGATTCTTCTCATCCTTGAACAGAATTTTCACCTCTCAGATACCCCAGATGGTTATGCATGGGACCGAGAAGGCTCACGTGGACACATCTGGCCTTTCTCTTTCAGACTTACAATTTTTAGCTTGTACTAATAAAACAAGAAGTTTTGATTTACTTCAGTTGAAGCAGCACCCAAATCTAGGCACCAGAATACTATCGAGAATAAATTCTTAGGGCGAACTTAATTTGCACAACTACTGTACATTCATGGTTGCGTACCAGGTAGTTCAAAGTAGCTTTCTTCATGATTCATGTTTGATTCTGTTGGCGTGACACAGTGAAATGCTGTTACTGTTCAAAAGTTTTGCATGCTTTACATTACAGTGGTGTTTATGTTTTTTGAGAATGCTTTCTTGCTATACCAGGGGCTTGATTCAGATGTGTTGTTTTTTTGTTCTTACTGTTGCTTCAGGGTAGATCCACCACTGAGGAGTTAAAATGAAAAGATCCTTGACCTGGGCAAGCAGGAACCCTTCATGAAGAGAGGCCAACCTGAAAGTGGCTGTTGAAAGTAAGGTCAGTTGTAAAAAGGAGTATGGATTACCTTCTTTTTCTCAGCTTACTTTCTTATAGGTCAGCTAGAACAAGGTTTGGAAAGGCTTACAAGTAGATACTAGCAGTTTTGCCTTATTGTAGATACTTATACAGATTTGCTCTTGGATTTCATCAAAAAATGACATGAACGACATGAGGGTGAGTAATTAATGACAATTTTCATTTTTGTGTCAACTCTTCCTTTAATTCCTCATCTAGATTATTGCAATTGTGTATCTTTGTATGGTACTGCTGCTCTTGTTTTGCCAGACTTAACCATAATTTGCCAAAATGCAAATCAGGGAATTCTTGCAGGCAATTTAATGTATCACCCCCTTCCATCCTTAATAAATGGGTCTTAAAGACCCAGGTGAAATTTCAGTGAAAACAGTTGGGAGTTGTCTACTTTCATTATCGAGTTGGTAATTGGGACACTAGCTTAAATGGATAATTCACCAAAATATGAAAATTATACTCACCCTCATGTAGTTCCAAAGCTGTATGCATTTCTTCTTTGGAACATAAAAGATATTTTGAAGAAAGGACCACACTGACCCTTTTTTTGTCTATTGAATAGACAAAAACATCTGAATAATGATATACAGGCCATGAGGGTAAGGAAATTATGACAAAATGTTTATATTTGGCCAAGATGTTTCTTTAGCTGAGTTAAAGACAGATACTGATTTACTGAATGGTAGTCTGTGCCAGTTGAATGTAAGAGTGTGGCTTCAGTGAGTCTTTGCACCAGTGGATTCAACCATGTACAACTGATCTCACAGGAAATGAAGAACCTGCAAGGCATAGACAAGGCGATAGAAACCTTAAATAAGACCCAGATCTGTGAGTGCCCTCAACCTTTGCTCTCTGCAGCCTTTTTGAAAGAAAATGTCTTCTTTGAAATGCTAGTCTATCAGAGAAAGAAAAGCGCTTTATGAAAGGTCATGGTGAGGGCGTACTGAAGATGGATACAAGATGGTAATCATTTGCATTAGAAATGATACTCGCACTCTATTCCGAAGCCTTTCCCACCGTAATGCCAATATTATTTACCTCAGACTAGCACAGCAGTTTTTTTCTTCTTCTTCTTTTTTTTTTTTTGCAGTTAAATGCAAATGGACTGCTTGATCAAACAGATTTTCGGGGAAGATGTTTGTTTTGCTGCAGTTGATGTTTTTATAAAGGTTAATGTATTTCAGGGGACTTTGGACTGCTGCAGACACACATTTCATCCTTTCTGATAGACCTTAGACATTATTCTGATAAACTTGAAACTGTTTTTGATTGTTCTTGTTTTTGCTAGCTCAAAATATTGAAATAATTGACTAATCTCACATCATTCTTTGTAGACTGCTGTTACTCACTGGCTGTTTACACTATAGAAAAACAGATCCACAGTGTAATTCCCATTTGCAGTTGAATGGGAGTGACCTCCATTTTCTTGTGTTGACTCTAGACCCTTCAGCATTAATGTAGTTCGGCTGAAAACATGCTTCTCTATAGGTTCATCAAATACCAGTGCGAGGTCACTGATACCTTCTTTTGTTCCTCTACATGGCCAAAGCTGCAATCAATTGCTGGGATCTTATCACAAACAGCTGAATTAGCAAGACAATGTCTGCTTGTTTCATACACAGGACAGTAAACTCCGATAATCACTTTTCCAATCATTTGTGCATGACTATCATATTAGCAAAGGTCATATGGTGAACAGCATGGCTTCCTTGACTTGAGTTATTGGTCAGTTGAAAATACCCAAGCTTGAATTTCCACATTGATTGATGCAGGGTTATTGTAGTGGTTTTTATTTGTATTTAATTTGTCGTTTTAATTTAGTTTTCATTGTCACTTTTTTCCGCTTGCTAGTTTTCGCTTTTAATTTTAGTTTGAGGTTTTATTAATCATAATGACAAGTTACCCCAATTTTTTTTTTTTTATATATATATATATATAAATATTGCTTGTTTTGGTGCTGGCGTATCTGCATAACTGACAGAAATGTGAAGCCTTTTGCCTAAGTGCGGCTTGCTGTAAAAGTAATTCTCCATAAAAGTGTCAGAAACGTGGTCTCTGTGACATGAACTTTATTCCAACTTTTTTAAAGCCTTAAAATACAGTAGATTTGTGAGAAGAACAGATTGAAATTACCGGTCATGCATAGGTTCTGACAATATGTCGATAAACTTTCCTCAAAAGCTGACGTTTATCTTGAGTGAAGCCACAATATGAATAAAATGAATAAAAGGGTCACAAGTGAGCTTTTGGAGTAAGTGACAGTTTTTGTATTATTTCATGTCTTTTTTTCAATGACGTTAAATATTGAGGAGGAAGGTGGAGGTGCTTTGATCAATGGCGACGTGGTGCATGGCAATTAGGAATGATGAATAGGCTTGCTCTCTGACATGAATCTGAGATCTTGAATAATTGATTTAAGAAAGAAACATCAGATGTAAGAATCCAAAAGTCGGGCCATCAGTGTCAGTAGGTGATGTATGGATAGAGCAGACTAAGAGTCCATTTCCCTCAGGTCCACTGGGAGACTGTGAGATGAAGGGCCTGGAGGAAGTAAGCAAAGAGTGGACATTAAAAGGGCAAGAAAGGGGCTGGGACAAATCTCTGTTTTTGCTTTTGTCTCATCTTGCCATGTCCATTTCATATCCAGTTTTATGTTTGTCTTTTGTACTTGAAGGAGACTGTTTAAAAATTAATTTATTATCACTTAAAGGAATAGTGCTCCCAAAAATGAAAACTTGCTGAAACTTTACTCACCCTCAAGCTATCCAAGATATAGATGAGTTTGTTTCTTTATCTTAAACAGATTTGGAGGAATTTAGCATTGCATTACTTGCTCACCTCTGCGGTGAATGGGTGCCGTCAGAAAGAGAGTTCAAACATCACAATAATCCAAAACATGACTCCATCAATGGCTTGTTATGTGAAAAGCTGTGTGTTTGCAAGAAACAAATCCATCAAGACTATTTTAACTTAATGATCGATTTATTACAAACACTCAACATTTCACTTTTGGATTATTGGGATGTTTTTTATCAGCTGTTTGAACTCTTATTCTGATGGCACCCGTTCACTGCAGAGGATCCAGTGGTGAGCATGTGATTAAAATTTTCTTCAAATCTGTTCCGATGAAGAAACAAACTAATCTACATCTTGCATGGCATGAGGGAGAGTAAAATTTAAGCAAATGTTAATTTTTGGGTGAAGTATTAGAAAAATTCCCATACACTTTGCTGATGTTATTTATTCTTGCAGGGTCCATGTACAAAGTTGTTGATGTGGCTGTTTATTCTTGACAGGATCCATGTATAAAGTAATCCATGAACGATGGATGGGACTCTGTTTACTTGTTCCACTCACGGGGGGATATTCTAACCCCACGATTTGCAGAAGGTCGAGAAATATGTCCCACGTGCCTTTACTCAAATGTATTCAGTATCAGGTGTCCTGTGTTGTGACACCAAGGCTAAAACAGGAGCGTTAGTAACACAATGCTGTTTTCAAGGACAGTTACAGCACTGTTTAGACTTTGTTGCTTTATCGCATTGGATTTTTTAACAAAAGGACCCAACTGCAATTCCTATGTGCCCTTCACTATCTACTTTGATAGACACTTGATGATGGCTGTCACACAATATTATGGCTAGAAGAAAAGCTAGAGGTCAAATCCCTTAATAATCACTTTATGAAACACTAAGGCAGCTGATGGCCACAGAAGGTCAGCGCCTGCTTGCCATAGTCCCCAGAACAGGCCCCAGATCAGTCGCAATCTGCACTCCATTCAGAAAAATACCTTGAAAACCAAATAGTGTTGCTCTAGAGTTTGTTAGACACAATGGAGGTAATGAAAAGAGTGAATGGGCATTTGAATCAGTGCTGTTTTTTTTCTCTGCTCCATTTCTCTACCTTAAACTTTGAGTCATTACAAAGGTCTTGCACTCTGTGCAGCTTTTTTTTTTTTCATCAAATCCTTACAGATCCATCAAATATCTTTTTTTTTTTTCCCTGATGGAATGTTTAAAAAGACGGTCATGTCATGTTCATTCTCCAACACATTGAGCTGTGCTCTGCTCATGTGATGTGAGTTTCAATCTGGCTTGCAACATCTACCATTCTTGTTTCCTTTCCTAGTACCATCATTTCCTTCTCTCCATTGTTTTGTGAAAATACTAGAGAATAAATGTTTGAAAAATTGACAAACTGCACTGTAATTACCAGTATATTATTGCACAAGTATTTGTAGTTTGGGGTAGATTTCAAATGGATTTCAGAGTCACCAAATTTCCTCTGATCTGCGACTAGTTGCAATAGGCAAAAACATGACACACAGGCAATGATATATTTAAGGTGTGGTAAAAAAAAAATACAGATTTTTCTGAACAAAAATTTTGAACATAAATGTTTTGGAACAAAAATTCATAGTGATCAATGGAAAAAGTGTATTGAAGCTCAGATATTTTTTTTATAGCCAGTGTATTTCATAAATCCATAGTAAATGCTATAGAACTTTTTACCGCAGCTGCATTTTTCTTGGTTCTCCTCCTGAACACTCAAAAAAGTATTGTATAATGTTGTATTATAATACAATCAGAATAATCATTCCTGTCTCGTAAGGCTAGAAAAAAGGCCTAAATGATTTGCATGAACCGTTTCTCATTCCTACCAGTGTCTCATTATACAAATATGCAACAACTCATTTGCTTGTTTCTTTGAGCTGTAGTTGATTGTTTCTTTTTTGGGTATTCAAGAAAGTCAAAGAAGGCTATGCTCAGCCCTTTCTTATCCCAGCAAACACATAACAGTGAGCGAGTCATACATGTACGGTCAAGCCTGTGCCATTCGCTTGTCTGTTCTTATTTAATGAGTGTCTGCTTCCGTCTTGAGGCTGCAATACGTTGGCTGTTGAGTAACATGTTCTTCCTCAGGATAAAAATGAAATATTTCTCTTTATTTACTCACCCTTAT